ATCAAAATGCTCGGGACATATGTGCTCGGGTATCATGTGTGCCCGGGCTAATAGCCCGAAGATTTATTACACAATCATTCGCATGTCCTCGGGACTATGTCCTCGGGATTATGACCTAGGACAGCGCCTTGTCCAACGAGAGATTTATTCTGACTAAGTATCCTTAATTTATGTCTCCTATGCCCAGAAGAACTCTATTGATATCACAATTATACCACCATTCAAACTCCTGTCTCGCGCAGGACTCATTGGTATAAAATTGCAAAATCAAGCTATCCTACTACAGGTGCAATGCGGAATCCTGATATGAACACACTACCTACCCCTATAAATACAGGACCTTGAACCATTATTCAGGTACGTTTTACATTGTTCTTCAGCACATAGCCTCACGCATATATTTCCTTTCTGACTTAAGCATCGGAGGGGCGACGAGAACACACCTCGTTGCCTTTGTTTCAGGTATCGGAAGATCACGTTCGTGCTCCTCACCAATCATCAAGCTCGGAAAATCAGCAGGTACGATTTTTGGTAGCATCACGTGTAAAATATTTTATCGTCTGAATGTGATTAAAAATGAGTATGTAGAAAAATGAAATTTTCAAATAGTGGTGATCAAACGGTGGTTAAATTTATGATTTCAATGACTTGAGATTTGAGAATCAAGATTTAAATAAATTAAGAGTTTAACCTTTCTTTTGAAAATCAGGACCCATGAACACACCATATGAATGGTTTGAGCATCCAACACTAATTTTCCCATAAATTTGAGATTACTTTAATCTTTTTTGTTTGGAATTTTATTCGACTCCGTCCTTATTTGATAATCGGGATTTAGGGTCAGGATGGGAACATACTTCCTATCCCGATTACTATTTTCTTATTTTATTTTATATTTTACGATATAAAATGAAACTCAAACGGAGGCCTAATGTAGTTTTCGTAATATTAGAAAAGGATAAATAAAAATAAAAATAAAATTAATACCTAAGCTGCTCTTTCTCAGACCCCATACCCTCCTATTAAAATCCAGGAAACATGTAACCTAAAATCATGAGAAAAATTGATTAAATTAAAGATAGGCTCACTTTAGGCCAAAATTAACGCCGATTATTCAAATTAGGCCGTTAAAAGACTAGTTTTGGAGCTGGCAAATGATTGACCAGTCCCCGCTAGTTATTTTTATCTTTACTGATTCGAAGTCTAATTATTCCTAGGATGTGAAAATGAGTTGTTAGATGGTTTATTTTCTAATCGAAACATATTTTTTAGACACCGTTGTGTATACTCTGATCGTGAATGTATGATTATTCAACAAGTGGACTGAAAGTTGAATCTTTACCTAATTTCCTTCCATCAATTCCCCTAAGTTTCATTTTTCAATACTAAAATAAATAAGTCAAGTCAAGTCATTATAGGATTAATTACATTTTGCCAAAATTAAGCTGAAAATGACGTCAAGTGCTGTTGCACAATAGGTAATGGGTGGAATTTGACTTTCTCCACTCCACTTATTCCTTTGCCAAATGTGCCATTTCACATTTCTACCTTTTCATTAAGTGTTGAGTCCATTGCTGTCTTCAATACCCATTTTCAGTTGAGCAATGTTATTTACAGTCGCTCACTATTGTAGTTTTCCTATATGGCATATATATGATTATTAGTGATTTGATATATTAATATAGTAATTTTTTATTACTTTATACAACAAATCACTAACCGTCATGTATATGTCATATAAGGCAACTGTGGTAATAAACGACTACAAATAGCATTCTTCTTTTTAGTATACTTTCTTAATTAAGCCCCGGTTTGACAACCGTTATAAAGAGCTTTTTGAGAAAATAAATTTTGAAATAGTAATTTTTTTTTTTTTTTGGAAGAATATGATTAAAAAGAAGGAAAAAATTTTGAATTTACGTCTATAATATTTTATTGTAAGAATGTGTAGTTAAAATTGAATTCGAGAAAGAAAAAGTTACATAAAAATGACTGTCAAACAAAAGCTAAGCTGGAATTTCGGTTTGATTACACGATGAGAGAAGTATTAGATTCGAGGATCATTATTTCGCTTTGTGAAAGTGGGGTAGGAATAACTTGGACTCACTCAAACACGATGCTATAAAAGCGTGGTTGGTAAAGGGTCATCGTGCCCCCACCTTTCGGTGGATACCCTACACGTTTTATGTTCTCACTAGAAACTTCTTACAACGGGCCCCTTACGCTGTTGCTTATTTCCAACAGCAATATTCTTCTAGTCAAGTCAGAAAATTCTGTAGTAAATAAACTCTTGAAAGGCTGTCAATGAATTGTAAATTACCGAGGATGAGGAACGTAGTTGTTTTAAATCTTCTAATGAATATAACAAACAATAATGAAAGACGAGACATTACTCGTATAATTGTGTGTCACTTTTAGGTAAAACCTTCAAGACGATATTAACATACAAGTTTATCAGCCACTCATTTATAAAAATAGTGCACGTATAAGAAAAAAATGTGCACTAGAGGAAGAGCGTGGGAGACTAAATTTTAAATAAATAAATGGGATCCATTGCTAACAGCTTAAACTTCTGAAACGGAGTTCTTCAATCACCTATAACGATGGAACACATGGTTTAATCATTGTTATGCCCCTTCACCGTCTAACTGTTTCAACTTTTCAAGGCATTTTATATTTGTTATCCTGTAACTCCACATAGAACTATTTCACTCAACTGGAAAAGCAGAGCTTTTTTCAAAAGTTCTTCAATAATTGGTATCAGTAGTAGCTTTACAGGTAAACATTTGAGAAACAGCATAGATTCTAGCTGATGTAGACATTCTTGAGAACAAATGCTATTAGGTTTAATGCCTCAAAATTGGGTTGAAATTTTGGAAAATCACATTTGACTTGAATTTGGAAAGAAATCAAAGTAAATCCAATATTTTTTTCCTTTTATGTGGTTTAACCTAATTCTAATATATTTTCTTACTTTTTAGGATTCTATTAGATTTATGGAGGTGACCTATAAATTAGAGACTCCTTTGTCAGTTTTAGATTAAACTTTTTGTTGTTCAATTGTAATAACTTCATGTTGTCGGGTTTAATAAAATTTATCATTCATCAACTTAGTTTCTCTTTTTCTACTTTATTTTAATCTTTTTTCGTGGTGTGATCTTGAATATTTCATTATTGTCATTAAATCTCAATCTTATTTCACCTTTGGACTCAACAAGTGGTATCAGAGCTTGATTCTTGTTATGGATTGGTTGTGGTTTTTCAGAGATGGCTGCTTTGAAGCATGATATTCCGCAATTGGATCGCAATACAAGGTTTTCTTTGTAGCAAGTAAAGATGAGGGCTATTTTGGCGCAGTTGAATTGGGACAATGTGTTGCCGAATTTTGAGAAAATGCCAGATAATTGGACAATGAAGGAGAAACAACGAAGAGATCGGAAAGCTTTGTCGTTGATTCATTTTCATCTATCCAACAATATTCTGCAGGATGTCTTGAAGGAAAAAAATAGTAGCTGCTTTGTGATTGAAACAGGAGCAGTTATGTATGACCAAAAGTCTTACCAATAAACTGGTTTTAAAGTAGAAGTTGTATTCCCATCGCATAGCGAAAGGAGTGTCGTTGGAAAACCATACTGTCGTGTTCAAGGAGATTGTTGCATATTTGGAGACGTTGGAGGTAAAATATGATGAAGAGGATCTGACCTTGATCCTGTTATGTTCGCTACCCAATTCTTTTTTCGTCGTTTCGTGATATTATATTGTATAGTTGTGACAAAGATGAAGCTGTTGGTTGGAGATCCTACATCTAAGGGTGGGGATGCTCTGGTTACTCATGGTGATTGACAAAGGGATAAATCGAAGGTGAGGTAAAGCAATGTGTATTGTTATTACTGCAGAGGAAATAACATATTAAGAAAGATTGCGACAAGTTGTAGTGTAAAGGTGATTTACATGCAAATCATGTGGCACAATTAAGTAACGAGACTAACATTATTAAGAATTTTTCAGATGATGGAAATGTAATGTTGATTGTGTCTGATGTGGAATCCAATCTTGGAGAGTTGATTCTGGATTCTGCATGTTCGTATTATATGTGTCCCAATAAGGCTTTGTTTCAGACATATGAGACGATGAAGTAAGGTGGAATTGTCATGAGAAACAACCAATCTTGTCAGGTTGCAGGAATCGATCGAGTCAAATTGAGGCTACAAGATGGGACAGTGAAGACACTTGATTGGGTTCGCCATATTCCAGACTTGACAAAGAATCTCATATCGCTGAGTACCCGGGATGCAAAAGAGTATAAATTCTCTGGTGGAGGTGGAGGTGAGCCTTGAAGGTCCGAAGAGGTGTCCGGGTTGTACTGTAGGGACGGAAGAAGTCTCGATTGTACATCTTGCAAGGGAACGCAGAACCAGTTAGTAGATATTTAGACAAGTTCAATACCGCGGTGGAAGTTCAGTTTGGTACCTCTTGTAGCGAGCTCTGAATTAGTTAAGAACACTGCTGGGGAGAACATTGGTGATTCCATTTTGCCACCAATTTCAGCGGATACACTGTGTTCAATTGCTAGTGTTGGACTCATGGAGCGTAAGTATGGTGGTGTCAATAATGTTTAGAATGTTTTAGGGGACGTTGAAGGCAACAGTTCTAGCAATGGGCCTTCTGATTCAGCATGTGACATGGTTTCTGCTACAGGGAGTGCTTTGACCCTATTTGGTCAACAGTAATTCCTTGGCAAAATTTGGGTTTCGGGTGTCCTTTGTGTACACCATGCAGAGGACGATGGTTTGATAATAGAGATTTTGGTTACTGTGTTGAGAAGATTGGTCAGTTCATTTCGAAGCAGACAGAATTGAAATTTTGAAATTTTGTTCGTTGCACCGAAATTTTGAGTCAAGATGGAGATTGTTAGATTTAATGCCTCAAAATTGGGTTGAAATCTTGGAAAATCACATTTCGCTTGAATTTGGAAAGAAATCAAATTACATTCAAAAATTTTTCCTTTTACGCGATTTAACCTAATTCTATTATATTTTCTTACCTTTTAGGACTCTATTAGGTTTATCAACATGACCTATAAATTAAAGACTCATTTGTCAATTTTAGATGAAACTTTTTTGCCATTCAGTTGTAATTTCTCCATATTATCGGGTTTAATAAAATTCATCGTTCCTCTGCTTTTTTTTTTCTTTTTCTACTTTACTTTAATCTTGTTTTCGTAGTGTAATCTTGAATATTTCATTATTATCATTAAATCTCAATATTTCATCGCCTTTGAGATCAACAAATGCACCAATGTAAAAAATGACAGAATAATTCCATATAGACCTTAACTAATATTTCACGCATGAAAAATTGGAACTTTTTAAAGGAAATACGCCAACATACATCCACTATATAATCATGCATACTCGGAAAAAGTATAAAACTAATGGCATGTTCCGTTAAGTGGCACTGGATAGTATTAATGAAAAAAACAAAAAAAAAAAAAAAAAAAAAAAAAAAAAAAATAAAAAAAAAAAAAAAAAAAAAAAAAAAAAAAAAAAACAAAAAACAAAAGAGGACATCTTTAGTACTCTGTGTCAAACAAGCACTACCCTTGTGTTGTGTAAGAGTTCTATTGTCTTCGAACCACTGATACAATAACAGCCACATCATCTAGCTTGCCGCCAGTGTAACCTATGTATCCAGCTGCTCGAGCAGCATCAACAAACGGACTTCTGACAGATTCAGACCTACCCACTTCCTGTGCCTGTATTGCCAATAACTCCGCAATTTCCTAAATAAACAGCAAAAAAATAAGTGGAGTTAAAAACGCCATGGATCTTTAAATAACGATATGGTCCAAAGGAAATTGAGCTCCTATAAATTTGCATCTTGAAATACATACGTATGTGAACGTATGCACGTGTAACAACATTGTTCTATCAGAAAGTTAAACATCTTGTTTAAGCACCTCCAGAGGTTGATCATTATCTAATGATGCCAAGACCATTGATGAAATTTCTTGGTCATATAAATTGTCAAAAAGTCCATCAGTAGCAGCAATAATCACGTCCCCCTCTTCTAATTCAACTTTGTACTCCTGAAGACAAGCACATGCAACAATTCTCAGATTATATTTGGAGTCATTTTTATCAGATTTTTTCAGAACTATCATAAGGTTTGAAGATACTAAGATGATTCAATATTGTGAGATTGTTTTGGTAAAGCATACCTCCGTGAGACAAGAGGGGTCATCACCTCTTGCAATTTGCACCGGAAAATGAAATTCGTGAAACATAGGGGAAGACTTCTTGTAAACAGTACCATGCCTCAGTATTATAAATCCCGAGTCTCCAATATTAGCCACGTGAAGAGCCTGTTGGCAAATTGAAAGTCCGTTAAAATCAATACGAACTTAGCTTGTGCCTTCTTGACACTTCTTTAACAAGAGCCGGTGTTATTCAGGATCAAAAGTATTGACTCATATTATTGCCAAGTCCTACAAGAGCTTGATAACATACGACATTGATTCTTATTTTATATAAGATAAATCATATAAGAGTTCATGTACAGTCAGTCGTCCCTTTACCATGTTATTAGCTACTCGTATCTTGACATCCCGAACCGAAGTTTAAATGCCTGTTGAAGTGTCAACAATATCATATATATGATTTCCATGCGTGTAGTTGTTGAGCTTTTGTTGCCAAACAACCTTAGGTTAATAATGTATCTTTATTGGACTTCACGACAGTTGGCCCAAAATTGAAGAGTTTCTAAGGCCCGATCATTTCACAACAAAATTGGCCTGTTGACCTGAGCCCAAGTAAGTGTCATTTAGAGATGTAACAACTTTAAAGTTATTGCTCGATGACCAATGCTGTTCTTGAGTATTAACTGTGACCCTTGTGGATCAAAACTTGATCAATGGTTGTGGGTCCTCATATAAAAGGAGGGAACCATAGCCATTCTCTCACTTCACTCTCATTCTCTCTCTCGGCCTCTCTTCTTCTTGTACTCGGCTGCTTACAGTTGATTTTCATTGTGAAGTCTTTGTTCTTCCACCATTCTTTGTGAATGATACTCTTGCTTTCTTCGTGGTTCTAAGGTCATATTTCTTCATACTGTGAAGGAAACTGGGCAGTGTAGCTGAGGGTTGATTGTTGGGTGAAACGTAGGCAAAACCGAGCCCTAAGCTTTTTCGTTCCATGTTTGATATCAATTGTTCCTTGTGTACAGATTTTACGTGTTTTGGCTTTGTAATATGTGGTTGAGAACTTGGTTTTGTGATTAAAATTGCTACGGTAACTATATATATAGATGGATAGTTTATAGCTAATTAATTTGCATTCAAACATATAGTTATGATATTACTACTGCTTATGAATAACCTTGATAGATATGATTTCCATATCATTCTTAACCACACTAATAATCAAACCACAAGAACTAGCATCACTAACCAAAAGGAGGCACCGGAAGTTTAGAATAAATTATACCTGACCATCTAAATGAGCAATCAAAACTGTCGTGGAACCTGGAGACTGTGTTCTGCCAACACAGTGTTTAAGGACTTTAACAGGGAAGTTCCCTGCATCTCCAGTGCAGTCAGAGACAATGTTTTCACAATTTTTGATGAGTTCTTGGGCATACACTCCTGGATTGACCCCTAAAAAATAAAAAACAATGACACATTAACCTGGACAGTTAATATTCAACTACAAATAGATATTATTATCAGGGTAAAACCATCTTAAAAGTACTCATTGCTCGACTACAGCCTCCAGGTCTATATCAGGAAGCAGTACCTTCTAGTGACCACTGACCAACTCCATCAGCTACACCAAGCCAGGTTTGGCCACTGATGAAATATGCATCTTCACCACCTGTCAACACCTGGAATTTATTATTATTTGAATTACTTCCCAGCAAACTTACAATGCCAAAAGGTTAACAGAATTCACTAAGGATTTAAATTCAATTCCCACATGGCAAGACGTGAACTAAGCCCCCGTTTGGCTCTCATTAAATCTCATCAAATTAAATTAAAATTTTCTCTATCCTATTTTCAACCACACAATCTTCAATAAAATATAATTACACGTAAATTGAAAACTTTTCATTCTTTTACAATTAGACATTTTTCAAAAAAAAAATTCCCCCCCCCCCCCCCCCCCCCCAAAATTATAATCAAAATTAATGGGGGCCAAACAGGGGCTAAAATCGTTCAGAAAACTGCAACAGTACAATTTTTTTTCCTTCTACACTTTCCAAGTTTCAAGTTATACACAGACAATAAATAAGACAGGTTTAAGTTGCAGAAACCACAAGACCAACATAAAGTGCAGCCTTTGCTAAAGGAAAATATATCCATAAGATACCTTAGAAGGGTGTGGCAACAAAGCAGCACCTGAAGACAGAACAAAATCTGCTTTTATTCTGCATAAAACAAAATACATTAGATGTGTTTAAACTTTCAAAGGTATTCCAGAGCCACTAATGAAGGGCAATAGTATTAAATCAAATAACCGAGCTATAAAAAGAGAAAATCAGGGATTATCTATCCTGTCAATAATTTATTATATGATCTACATGCAAAGATGTTTTATGAGGCCAAATTCAAACAGTTAAATTTCCAGAAATAAAAGTTTGATTGCAGGAGCAAACAGAAGGCATACATTTCTTGAGGGAAAATAAATGTTTGATGTTGTTTTAATACTCAAGAACCTTGAATGTTTATACTGAAGTCCTTTTCTGTTAAAAAAGAGAGATTTTTTCTTTTCTTTTTTATAACGAATTAAAGCATTGTATTCACGTCCAATCAATGCATGCAAGAAAAATAAGGAAACACTAAAAGATAACAATGCTAGCAAAACAAAGAAGGAAAGTACACAGAGAGAGAGAGAGAGAGAGAGAGAGAGACCTGCTTGCAACAGATTCAATAGATTTTAGCTCTGTCACTTCACAACCTGCTTCTATAGAATCATTGTTTCTCACACTGTGATCATCATCAGTCCTTGTTTCCAAAAGTGACTTCTGCGAATTGTTAAGCTGTAACAACATAAATCTAAAAACAGTCAGATTCTTCAAATGGAAGGACTGAATTCTATTTGCTTTCAAAATCAAAACTCTCATAGTAAATTTGTGGTGCAATAAATTAGGAGAGTTAACAAAATATGCTTTGAACAAAAAATCTGCATATCATGATCATAAAATTGACAGCTGGAAAATGTGAAATTTTATCCCAATGGATTTTGCATAACAAGAACGGAAAGAAAGACGTCACAGAAGATCAAATTATTGGAAATAGGAATATAAATTTCATTGTCAAGGCACAAGAGTTTTCTTGATGAGAATCTTTTTCATTACAAACGCCGAAGGATTAAATGAATTATTAGGTTCACAATACGAAGATCGCACCTCCCTCAAAGCATTAACTTTACATGATATTTTCTTTTCTAGTCTTCCTTCATTTCTCTTGTTTGCTGTTTGTCTAAGGTTGTGGTGGGTGGAGTTAAATGCAATGTGATCCACCCCTCTGCCTTTATTTTGAGAATTTCATCAGATTGTCCAAAATGACTAAACTACAGTGAGTGGGAAGCACGACAAATCCAATGCATGAACTAAGAAGCTTAATTCTGGGTGCTGACAAGCACTGTGTACGTGACAGTGGAAGTAAAGCAAGTCAACCTTCAATTGGCGTGGATGAATATTAACCTGGAGAAACATTATTATACAAGTTTCCCAACAAAAAATGAAATCTCCCTAAGAGTTGTTCCATGAAGAAGACTGATAGACCTCCTATACGATTTACCTATTCTAGAAGGACCCAGAAGAAGGAATGAACAGCTGACTTGGAGTAACAGAATCTGGTAGAATAGGGACAATTGGTTTCAGTTAGTTAGAGGAGGTCAATAAATAGAAGTAGAAGGAGAAAGAGAGGGAGGCAAAAATTTAGAGTCGGAGACTGGATTTAGTTTGAGAGTTACAGCCTTTTATAGGCTTCTGTTACCTGTTGGAATTGCTGTAATCTTCCTTATCTTCAATAAAAGTTTTGCTTATTACTATTTCTGTTCTAACTTGTTCGGTAGGGTCTTAACAAAGACTTTGATATAACTCTCCTACAGATAAGATCCAGGAAATAGAATGCAAGAAGTAACAAGACAATTATGAAATGTAATTCATTAACGACTTCGCTGTGCTTCAAGAGACTTAACTAACCATTGCTACGCTCTCATTCATCTCTGCCACAGCAGCTTCTTCCATGGAATCATTATCTGCCTCCTTGTCAAGAATTGGTTCAGATTCCAACTGGGAAATAGGCATTACCTCAATCATATCACTTTGACTTCCAACTTCAACAGTGTTACTTGGCATTCCATTCTCAGTTCCCTCTTTCTTATCCTTAGAATCTTCAGAAGAATCAACAGTTGCTTCAGAATTCTGATCCTTTGAATCTGAAGAAAAATCAACAGCAGCTTCTGTGAAAGGGAACATGGCCACAGCATTCGTATCACTCGTGTTACCATCTTTATTTATCTCAGCTGGCATTCCAATTTCCAAATTCTGATTCGCAGTGTCTCGAGACAAGCTCGTAGATAGTTCCAACTGAGGGGAAACTGGTGTTACTGAACTCCTATAATTTCCTTTACCATCTTCTACAGTCTCAATTCGTGTTCCAGCCTCCACACTCCGATTATTTGCAGAAATATTTGTGGCTGCTATAGTTTCCCCAGTACTTTCCCCAGTAACAATTTCATCAGGTAAATCATTAACAGGGTCCGGCTTCAAGTGAATCGACTGAAGCATCATATCTCCACCAATTTTCTCTTTTGCCGATCCCATAATAGAACTACCATTATCTACTGTAGAACTCTCATCAAGCACAGTCACACTTCCAAGAGGTGAAATCTCATCCTTGTGCTTTTCACTTGAACATTCCTCCACATATCCAACACTTTCTAAATCTGCACTACGACCAGAAGAATCTTCTGTATCTATACTTGAAATCTGAACAGTTAATTCAACGTCATTTGAATCTTCTGATAACTTCTCACGTGATTCATTCTCTCTCTCAACAACACTGACGCTTTCATTGCCGATACTGATTGGATTAGATTCATTCATGGCTAATTCAACTTTCTTTGAATCTTTTGAGAACATCTCACTTGAGTCATCCTCTCTCTTAACAACATTAATGCTTTCATTGCTGATAACTATTGGATTAGCTTCACTCATTGCTAATTCAACTTGCTTTGACTCTTCTGATAATTTCTCACTGAACTCATCCTCTCTTTCAACAACAGTAATGCTTTCATTGCTGATAGCTATTGAATTAGCTGTATCGGTTTCTAATTCAACTTTCTTTGAATCTTCTGATAACTTCTCACTGGATTTACTTTCTGTCTCAACAACACTAGTGCTCTCCTTGCCTTTATTAACCACCTCGGTCAAGCCAGCACTCCTTACTTCCTTATCTAGTTTCTTTATAATCACTTTTCTCTCAATATCTCCATCAGAAACCTTCACCATACTAAATCCCTCTTGACTTTTTTCCTTAATCTCCTTAAAAATTCCAGGCTCCGCCGGTGTCACATTTTCCGCGATCTCACTTGGGTCTCCAAAGCGGAACAAAAGGCTACCATCAGAATGCTCTGCCAACATAATCATCAAAAATACCTCAACACTAATTGTCTCAAATTCTATTAAACAAAAACTCCTAAAAGATTATAGCTTTACTTTCCCACTTCACCCTTTCTCGTATTATAATATGGTCAACAGTGTTGAATAAAGAAATGAATCCACAATAATTATAAAACAATGTGTTGTTATAGAGATTCTCAACTCAACAGAAAAACTAAAACCCTTATCCTGTTATCCATAATGGTTTGGCGTAGTCAACGTTAGTTAGAATACTAAAAATTAAAATATGAATAAGACTGAGTTTTACGAGGACATACCATGGATTGAAATGATATCATAGTCTGGACTGGAAGAGGACGTTGGAGATTTGGATTCGGAGAGCAGGGTGAGACGTTGTGGTTTTCTTTTTCTCCTTGTCGTTCTTGGATTGTGGAAGTGAGGAATGGTCGGGACGAATGTCTTTGGAGGGAAGAATATTTGGAAGTTGGTGATTAAAGATCGAGAATCCAAGAAACTGCAGAAAAAATCAGCCATTTTTGAAGATAATTGATTGATTTACGTGAACATTTTGGGGATAGAAAGATGATGGCAATAAATGGTAATCTTGAGACTCGACAGTGACTGTTTCTTTTGTGGAGAGAGAGAGAGAGAAATGGACACGTGGATAATTTTATGTCTGAAGAAAATTGGTGGGAATTGGCCCCCTTTATTTGGTATCATAATTTACGAAATTAATAGCCATTCTGCATTTAAGAAGAAACTCAGAGGTCCGATCTAGAATATCACTATCAATCTTCAGATATATTTGGGATGTACATTCTTGACTGGTGGCAACAAAAGTCAGGCCTTGTTGTCTGCCTCGGTCACGACCAGAGCGGTTGGTGCTGTCCCTCACAAGAGGTTCGTTGTGGTGGCTGCTGCCCCTAAGAAATCATGGATCCCTGCAGTCAAAGGTGGTGGCAACTTCATTGACCCCGAGTGGCTTGATGGCTCGTAAATCGCCCATGAAATTTCCTTCCACTTTAAATGTATTCCCTTTTAACTCAAGAAGTGATTAAAAATTTACATGATGAATTGCAGGCTCCCTGGTGACTTTGGATTCGACCCACTAGGCCTTGGAAAGGATCCAATATTCTTGAAATGATACAGAGAAGCCGAGCTCATCCATGGCCGATGGGCAATGGCTGTAGTTGTGGGTATCTTTGTTGGCCAGGACTGGAGCGGTATCCCTTTGTTTGAAGCCGGTGCAGCCCCTGGTGCAGTGGCCCCTTTCTCTTTTGGCAGTCTCCTCAGAACTAAGCTCCACCTCACGGGATCGGTTGAGAGCAAAAGATGTGGTCGATTTCTTCAACCGAGTCCCAATCTGTCGAATGGGCTACTCCATGGTCAAGAACAGCAGAAAATTTTGCCAATGCTACTGGAGAACAAGGCTACCCTGGTGGCAAATTCTTTGATCCATTGTGCTTGGCCGGTACATTGAAAGATGGAGTTTACATTCCAGATGCAGAGAAGCTCGAGAGATTGAAACTTGCAGAAATCAAGCACTAAAGAATTGCCATGTTCTATGCTAATTTTCCATTTTGAGGCAGGGCAAGGGACGACACCCCTTGGTGCCCTTGGCTTGTAATTTGCACATTGAAAGTAAAGAAAATTGAATGCTCGAGGTAAAAGTCTTAATGTCAAATTAAGTAACTTATTTCCAACTTTAATCAAATAAAAAACAGTTATTTTAAAGCTTAGCAAAACATGACATGAGCATACAAAATCAGTGTCTTGTCTAGTCTATCAAGGAAAGTTGAAAACCAAGCAATAACCTACACAGTTTTAACAATTAAACCAGGATGACGACTGAGAATTAATAACAATTCACCTATAAAGAACATCTAATAGAACTCTGAAGTAACGTTCCCATCTCAATTGGAAGATTCCATTTCTACTGTGAAAGCATTCCATTTAGCACTCAGGAATGAAATGTAAACAAGAGTAAAGCAACACAGTACATTTTCTCCTTTTCCCTTTTCTTTGTTTTTCAATAGAAACCCATTCTTCTTTCAACAGCGTATAGAGTAAAAAAAATAAATGGGAAGATCATATTTGATAAAATAGGTGACTTAAAAGTGAGGTTTCAAGCACGCAAACATAACACAAATCTAGTTTAAAGTAACCTGGAGTTACTTTTAAGCTTGCAATATTTAGTCTCTAACAATTCATTAGAAGAAAAAAAATAATCCTAGATAACTCTCCAATGGAAAAGAAATGAAAAAAGAGGCACAATGTTTTCCCAACACATACAGAAAGAGAGACAAGGAGAGATGAAAATTAAAAAACAACTGGTGCTGCAAAAAATACGACCATATTGGTGGGAAATAATCATTCACTGCCCATAGCCATCAAAAATTCACCTTCGCAGACCACTTCCCCGCCAACATATGCTTTCCCTTCCATCTTTGCTATTCCAAAGCGTTTCTGCAGCTTGACAAGTGTCATTCTCATAACTAGGGTGTCTCCTGCGACGACTGGCTTTCTGAATCTTACTTTGTCAATTCCAGCAAAGAAGAAATTTTCCCTCGAGCCTCCCACTTCTGGTTGTAGCATAACCACACCACCAACCTGAGCCATTGCCTAAATCCAGCAGTAACACATGCATTACTTTTTTCGCAAAATACATGCTTCGGAGAAAAGTTGGCATACAATCATAAAAAAACAGTAAGTGTGATAGGCTAATGAGAAGAGCGATAATGGAGCTCACTTATTTCCAAAAACAAATCAAAGGAAACCACTTCACTTTAAGTTGGAACTGTCTGAAGAACCTTTTTCATTAGGAAAATTATCAACAAGAATGGTCGCTGGTCAGTATGGGCAAGGAACAGTTGATTAATGAAGGGTAAAAAGGATCAAGTAACACGACAAGTATTACACGTAGGGGAAAAATAAAGAGCTGTATGCACTCATGCTACCTAATTCACAAGGATCCCAAAAACTATTATCCATCAAGTACTGATAATAATTGCAAACTCAACTTTGGAACTATATACTACCACCATCCAATAACCTTTAAAAGCTTCCAGTCCGGGAGCACAGAATACTTTATCAGAGTAAGAATTTCAGCAATATTACAATTTATTTTACCTAAGTGACTAATTCCCCTCCCAGGGGTCATCATACTTATTCACAACTCAAGATGGTAAAAACGACCCACCTATCAACGAGTTTTCAAACTTGGCTCTCATTTTTTACTTCTTTATTATTGTACCAGTGCTTCGATATGTATGGCTGGTTGCAGAACCCTTGCTATGTAAACTACCGCCATATGGAAGCACTCAAAACAGGTAGGGGAATCAACTCCTCACTTCATCATAGCTCTTCTGCACTCAGTCATCTCAAACGCCCCTTGGATCTATAATAACTGGGTCAATGGCTGCACTGCACAACCAAGCCCAATTTACAAACAGACCAGAAACTAATATGAATATTTATATATGACCTGGTGATACCAGCAGTGAACCATAACTCAAAACCATCTCTTACAAGAATTGCACAGTGTTCCTTTATCCTGTCCACACCTCTAATTTCAATTCAACATATTACTTTCCAAATCTAAATTTTAACTTTTTGACAATATGTTCTGCCATTAGACTCGAAAACATCAATTCAAGAATGTATAATAGAAGCTCCAACAGATGCCCAACCCTTGCCCTCTCCACTTACACAGAGAAACTGGAAATGAATCTTTGGTGCCTTCAGGCTCTAGTACACATATCTTAGCTACTGACCGTCCTCCCTGATTTCACAGAAAGCTACAGCTTTTATTTTAACTTATTCAAAGAACAGAGCATGAGAGTAAGCAGAAAAATGCTTAGTGTGAGAAATGATTGATACCTGCAGAGCATTCAGTATCAAGACAATACAAATAAAACATCTACAAGTATGTGTTGACAAGACAAATTGCTGTTTGCATTGAAGAATTCACATGATTATCTGCTAGTTATAAAATTCATAATGAACACTTCATTTTAAACTTGTCACACGCTTTCTCAACTAAGTTTAACCACATAGTGATCGGATGAAAACCAATCCAAATTAAAACTTTCTGGTTGTATATATCAGTTGAGTCTCCCTACCCAATGCTTGGACTTTTTGCAAAGTCAGATTAAGATATCAAGACAAATATTCAGTGTTTTCTCTACATATACATAAAGAGAACATTCATTCTAGTAAGTAGTTATTTTAAATGGCTGGGATATTGGCCCACATGAGGAAAGGGCTGAGATTTCTAATAGGCATGTGTCAAAGAAAATGAGTTATTGTCACAACCTAATTGTACTCTGACAAATTAGATGGCATGGTTGGCCTGAAACAATTTTTGCTATTAACCCGTTAATTCTCTGTGTGTGAGATTCTCTCTTTTGTAAAACAAGTAAGAACAACAAAAGTGTGAAGACGTGGCCAAGTCAAGAAGTTAAAACTTCCTTCAGGGAAAACAGAAGCGAGGCTAAGGAAAGCAAGTGGTGCAAAAGTCAAAACTGTGAGCTTAAGGGAAAACAGAAGCGAGGCCGAGGAAAGCAAGTGCTGCAAAAGTCAAAACTGTGAGGGAAAATACTTCATTTTAATCTCCATACTTTGATGATGAAATACTGGTCTCCCCCTCCATGATCCTAAGGGCTAGGTAAATTTTCAAATCATGTAAACCTTGTGTATCCCAATTTCTGGCCCATACTTTTTCGCTGTTCTTATTCTTTAATTTCTGTCATATATATAAGTTGTTGTTATGACCATCAAAATTGTTGAGCTTCCCCTCAAAGAATTCACTTCCAAAGCAATAGTGTCAAAGCGGGATTTTTTATTCTGACATAGAGGTAGAGACTAACTCTTCATCAATAGGCTAGTGTTTTGACTTTTAAACAATGCAAGGTGACTTGTGGGGAGTTTGGCAATCAAGTTTGAGGCCAACCTAGACAAAAGGATTTGGTTTCAACATGAAGCATAAATTATAAACATATAACAAGAACTTTTAGCTTTCTGGTTGGGAAGAAAAGAATCATTATATTAACTTTCCGACTTCATCGACAACAACCAATAGTAAACATCTATTTTGGGTCGCATAAATTATAAACTATTTCCCTGCATATAATGGACTCGTGGTTTATATTATTGTAATAACCAGCATATGGTCAAATTCTACTTGTATGCCACTCTATTTAATCTGAATGGATATTTCACATAACGTACTGAGCATACCATAAACTGATAAAAGTAACATGCACTCTCTTCACAAGACTAGAGTCTTGTATACATAATTTTTTTTTTTTTTTTTACCACGGGTGTCCGGGCCAACTTAAATAAATAAATGAAATTCTATAATTAATACATTAAAACTTTATTACACGAGTCTTTTTATCATGTCAATTTATATTTTATTTTCAATTATGTTAGAATTTAATACATAAATGTACTTTGATTGTTTGATTATTCCATTTTGAATTATCAACATATTTACTGAAAGATTTAGTGGAACAAAACCCTTTTAGTTTATAGTAGTTTTGATGAACCTTGACATTCTAACCAATTCTACTAAGACATCTTTATTGTGTATCAAAACCAATAAAAGATGCATCATTTTTCTCATCCAGTTATTCTTTTAAACTATATAATGGAGTACAAGGATGTTGCAATAAACAAAAGTGTTCTCAAATCGGAAAAAAGGAAAGAATCTTTCGTCTATGTATATTGAGAACGTTTTCGAAGTATGAAGACTCAGGGAAGATTGTAATGCGGGGAAATTCTTACCTGTTTACCTTGTTTTAAACACTTCTATTCTTAGTTAAATAATACCCCCATTGATTTGAATTTCTGGCTCAGCCCATGGCCCATGCACAACAAAGACTGTAGTTATAATAACTTGAATTATTTACCTCAACCATGAGCACACCTGGCATAATTGGCCTCTCAGGGAAATGCCCAGGAAAGAAATTATCATTTATTGTCACATTCTTGATAGCCACAGCGGACACCCCAGGATTGTACTCAACAACTCTATCTACCAGCAAAAATGGAAATCTACATCCCAAAGCAAAAAACAAACAGAAATTAAAACCAATTATGTTTAACCAAAAAAAACAAAAACAAAACAAAACAAAACAAAAAATCACAAGAGACTAGTAAAGAGTAAATTTAATAAACACTCATTAAACTTCGAAAGTGTTACTACTTACTCACTCATTTTAACTTATTACCCAATGCTCACTTAGCTTTCCATATAATTACCCATTAACCACTCATTTATCTCTCATCGCTCCAAATAGATGGAAAAATACGTGTGTAAACAGAAATCAAAGTGGCAAATACATGTCATTAAATCTTGACAACCTGGAATTTCTCCTCAACCATTTTCATGACATTTCTCTCCAGTAACCCTCTCCTGAACTCAATGCATTTGAAATCAAATTTCATTCTTTAAAATTGGCCCCCGAAGTCAGCGTGGCATTTCTAGCATCCATTTTTTCGACAGGTGACAACAGTACTAAGATATGGGCAAGTAGCATCATAGAGTGGGTGCACCGTCGGCCGGGTCATTGTGTTCTGTTCGGACATTTTACCATCTAGCTGTTGTAGCTCTTCTTGTTCATATGCAAGACAAGCAGCCTCCACACGCTAGGCGCCTCTACCTTCATCCGTGCAGCCTCCACTAGGTGCACCACCGACCGGGTCATTTTCTCATTGTGACCCACTGAATTAATGGGTCGACAGAGGAGCTGAGGGCCGGTGTCTTCTAATTGGAATTTCTGATTTGTGGGGTATGGAATTAGGCTTTGAATTGGGGATTTTGATTTTAAGGAAGATAAAAGCATGTTTGGTCGGAGGATTTTTGGTGACATGGACATGGTTAACTCCGTTAGCACGCCATGTAGGATTATTTTTCCATCCATTTGGAGAGATAAGAGTTAAATGAGTGGTGGACGGATAATTATATAGAAAGATGAGTGAACATTGAGTAACCCATTAAAGATGAGTGAATGTCATGAGTTAGACTCTAAATTCAGTTCCTCCTTAACCGTAACTCGTGGAAGTTGATCTCAACTAAAGTGAGCTGAATGTTAACCAATTAAATGAAGAAAAAAGGAAATTGGGATGGGAAAAAAGTTTGTAAAATTGAGAAGAGATGAGAGATAAAATGAATTGAAAATTCAATCCACCATTAACTGAAATTGCATAACATAATTCGACAGTCCATAGATCTTCGCACATGGATGCATATATCACTCATAGTAGAAACTGTGTTCCGTAAGAATGAAGGAAGCAAAAAACGTTTTCTAACTAATACATTTATTTGGAGTAAAACGACACCGTTTGAATTAAACACATACAAAGCCATTGTATTTGAAATTGCAGTTAACTATGTTGGTCCTTCTTCCTCCAATCTGGTTTTCTTCTTCCCCTTCGTTGTTTTGTTCTTCCTAGGCACATAACAACCCTCCCTCTCACCTTGATCTTGTCCCCAAGATCTACATATAGGAATCTGGAATTTAATCCAATCTGAGTCTTCCCAAGTCATACTGTCTGGTGGAGTACCTGACCAATGTATAAGCCATTGAAGTGCTGTGTGTTTCTTGTGGTTCACCAACCTGGACTGCAAGATGGCAAGGGAGTAATGTTCTATCTACAGTGGTCGAATTTCAGGTAGTTGCAACAGTGGCATACTTTTATCACCCAGCTTGTTTTTCAGTAGTGTCATATGGAAGATTGGACGGACTTTTGAACCTTTAGGTAATGCCAATGGTAGGCTATTACTCCTACCTACTTAATAACCTGATATGGGCCAAAACACATACCACTTAGTTTATGGTCAGCTATGTGTTCCGCTGACTTCTGTGCATAGGGGTGTAGCTTCAGAAAAACCCAATCACCTTCTACGAATGACCTTTCTGATCTAATTTTATCAGCATAAAGCTTCACCCTTTTACTTGCTTGTGAGAGGTTTTCCTTTAACTGTTGGTTTAATTTGTATCTCCACGTCCCTACCACCAGCCTCTTTATTTCAGTTTACTAAATAAAAGGACATATATAAGGTCCGATCCTAAATGGTTGTTCCTCTTCTTTCCATGGAATATGGTGGTTATGTGACCTAGGAGGGGGTAATTCTGTTGGTTCTTCAAACACCTTTGGAAATTTGTGAATAACCTCCACTATCTTGTTAGGTATATCCCCACCTTTCTCCTCTTTGATAGTGTATAACTATCCCACTATCCCATAATAGTCCTTACCTAACATTTTCTCTATCCCTTCTATTCCCATCATTTTGACAAGATGTTTTGAATTTCACTCTTCAAATCCCCCACTTCATTATTATTCCTGAATCTGATACACCCATTTGCATAGTCAAAGTTGATTGGACCAAATTTGGTCATCCAATTTACTCCTAACACCATGTCACTTCCTGCAAGCTTAAGTGTTTTGAGATTGTAAAGAAATTCCCGGCCTTGTACATTCCAAACCATTGGCTAACATACAGCGTTACTTTCCAGTTTTTCACCATTGACTACCCTAATGATCACTTGGTTGTTCCATCAGTGGCATACTACAATTCGCTAGTTAGTTTCTCATCAAAAAAGCTATGGGTATTCCTATTGTCAATCCAGTTGGACACCTTCCTCCCTTTGATCACTCCAGGAACTCTAGTTTGGTGTTTCCACCTCCCAACCAATGAATTAATGGATATCTCCATGATCTCCTCACTTCCTGATTCAAAGCCTTTATCTTCATCTGTTCCCAGTTGTTTAATTTTGCTAAAGGTCTCAACCACATCTTTCCCAGTAGTTTCTGAAAACATCCTACAAAGCTCCTCAGAAAACAAGCTCCAGTCTGCTTCAGGTTGACTGGCAACGAACCCATCAAACCATATATCTGCTTTCCCCTTCAAGTACTTCTCCGCCATTCCTAGCCTCAGTTCATCGAAAATCTGGTGGAGTTCGAAGTATTTTATGGCTTCCCTCGGCCATTCTCTAGGTCCTTCTCCCTCAAAGTGTGGGAAATCAAATTTAGGTAGATTAGTTCCTCCCCTGATTTCACCTCTAGCACGACTACTATTCTCTTGACCACTACTTCCTTTTATGGTTAACATACTACCAGATCTCATGTTAGTCATGGATCCTTCCATGCTCTCATTCTCCTGTTCAGTTTCAAAATCAGCAGTCATTTGGGCCATTATAGTCACTAATTTTTCATTCTTTTGATTCATGTCTCATACAGCATCCTCAATTTTTTTCTTGCCTATGACAAAGTACGTGAAGTGTTTGCTCTGAGGACTCCATTCAGGCCTCCAGTTTGCTGGTAACAGCTTTGAAGGCTTTACCCAGATTTGCAACCTCTAAATCCAGTTTCTACAAATGGTCATCTACAACTTTGGCCCGTGTATCCATGGTTTGTAAATGCCCAATATTATACGTTTGCTCTCTGCTCAGATACCATTTTGTCACGAGTCAGACTCCAAATTCAGTTCCTCCTTAATTGTAACTCAACAGAAGTTGATCTCAGCTGAAGTGAGCTGAGTGTTAACCAATTAAATGAAGAAAAATAGAAATTGAGGAGGGGAAAATGGTTGTAACATTGAAAAGAGATGAGAGATAAAATGAATTGAAGAATCAATCCACCAATAACCGAAACTGCATAACATAATTTGACAGCCTACAGATCTTCGCACATGGATGTATATATACACTCATAGTGGGAATCGTGTTTCACAAAAAGGAAGGCAGCAAAGAACGTTGTCTAACTAATACATTTATTTGGAGTAAAACGACGCCGTTTGAATTAAACACATATGACGGCGTTGCATTTGAAATGGTAGTTAACTCTGTTGGTGCTCCTTCATCCTCCGGTCTGGTTTTCTTCTTCCCTTCGTCGTTTTGTACTTCCTCTTTCCCAGCTACCTCTCACATAACAGTGAGTAAGTAGTAACATGTTTAAAGTTCAATGTTCATTGAATTTACTAGACTAATAAAAGGGTACAGGAGAAAATGAATGCATGAAAATATCACAACCACATTAAATGATCAAACAACCGCATAAACAAGAACAAGTAATTCACTAAAATAACATGAGAATCAGGAATGCATGAATTCCACTGACCGGTGAGGCAAAATTTTGCGAATCTTCTCAATGTCCATTACAGTAGGAAATGCCGGGTACTCTAAGAAATTAAAATCAAATAAAACAGAAAATCTTCTAACTTCAGAGGGTAAAAATAAAAGGATAAATTAAAAATTCACAACATGCAATCCTAAGATACGTACTCAGTTCAATTGGGGTTTCAGCACAGGTGCCATCATTGCTAGTGGAAACACAGTTACCAACAAACATTTTGTGGGTCTTCTTAAATTGGGTGGAAAAAATACGGGATCTGGATAAACTAAGGGTTTGATTCGCGGAAAAAGAAAACGGCATCGCATTCTCAATGCTTTTCTTGGAGATTGAGGTGTGCGGATTGGGAATGAAGAACCGTTGGGAAAGAGGTGTGGATGCTATTTTGATGGTATATGTAAAGTATGTGAGTTTTGGGAAGAAAGTGACGAGTGTAGTGTTGAATGAATGCTATAACGGGGAGATGGGGCGAGAATAACGAGGGCCGGACAAGTGGGTGAGTTGCGTGAGTAGACAGTTGGGAGGGAAGTGCGACAAAGAGGAGGCGGAGAGACCGAAGAGAAGGCATAGTGACACGCTAAACTGTGAAATTCTTGTAAAAAAAATTTCCCCAATTCATAGCTAGTGCTAATTAGACCACAAGTTTAGCCTACATTTCACCTTCAATTTTTAAATTGTTTT